TTTTCCTATCTGTCTCTGCATCTCTAGCAGGTTTCATATGGTTGATTTTGGCAGCACATTGTCAGCATGAAGCTCAGCATGGGTCGGGCCTCTAATGGTACTCTGACCATCAATGACCCTGACTGTCATATCCTCCATCAGCTGCGGCAATGTGTCTGGTGTTCATCAGATTGTGACACATAATTGCAAATGCATTCCCACTGAGGTTATTATAATACCGCTGATGGAGGGTGTGAAAGAATGTTGTGCTGGTGTACCCTCTGAATGTTTAACGTAACCATCTTCAGAGGTGGCGATTTGACTTACAAGATTGTTTGCAACATGTCTTCAGACTGCGTGAACCTGTAGAAGAGAACAAAATAAATTAACTTGTAGTAATGCATAATCCCATTTCTCAGTGCAGTATCATTCGTATCTCCTCTATGTGCAGGTCCTGACTTCCCCATTCTGCGGCCTCATCATTTGCAAATGAGCATCTGCCCGGATCTTTGGCCAGGTTATTTGTCTCCTCCTGCACAGGCCTGAATGTGAGGAGGTCAGGGACATTGCCCCAGTCTTTGAGCACTTCCTGAGGAAAAGTGTTCTTTTATCCTGTAGTATTAAATATCATCTGAAAGGGTAGCAAACTATCATGCAGCCTATCATATCTAATGGTATCTCCCAAGCAAACACTCCAGTTTCCTGCAATTGGTACCTTCACAGCATGATTTAGCTTCCACACATTTCAATCCCTGTATACCATCTGATATTGAAGCATAGAACACAAATTCCTGTCTGTCATACCTCTCCACTTGCATGTTTACATTGCTTGATACCATCATACCCACTTCATAGAGTACAATTTTCCTCTCTGTGAATGTGGAGAGAGAGGTAATGACAAGGGGAAATAATTAGGCAAGTTTGCGTGGAGAGAAACATACCTCCTTCCTGTGACTTCTGCACCTAAATGCTGGGCGAAAACGTCCATTGACAACTTGCCTGACTTGTGAACAATGAAGACCCTTAAGTGGTCAATTATTGGTCACTCTAAAGGCATTAATTTGCCACTTCCCTCATTATCTGTGGTTAATAAAGGTGGCTGGTTTCCTGACTGGAACACCATGGTGATCTGCATGTCAATAGAGGCCTCCAAACAGAGGCACAGATGGGTGACAAGGCCATCCCTGTGTCCTCGCCTTCAAATCCTTGCTTACCCAAACACAGACCCCATCAAGAAGATTAAAAACAAACTTACATTTTCACCGCTGGATCTCCTCTGGAATAGCTACCGACCAGTGAACTTTAGGATCCAGGATTTGCCACCTTCTGATTAGTTGGCAGCTTCTGGTGCCACCAGGGTCGATATACTCTAATGGGGTGAAACATTCTCCCATGCTCACCCCTCAGCTCTTAATGAGATGATTGCTGGGTAATCCAGCAAATTTTCTCACTGGTGGGGCAGCATGTCAGTCATGACTTGACAAAGAAATTGGAAAAATTCCACACATAGGAAGGAAGCTGCTAAAATTGAAAATGCCATATTGAAAATTAAAATCGAAAACATTGTTCATTTTCAGAATTTATTTCTACCTGATCTAAAAGTTGGGGTGAGGTGGTCGTGCTTCCCACACTAATCCCTAAATTAATATGGAATTCAATATGCAACCAATGTAGTTTTCAGTGGCTCATGAGACAGAACTTATTTCCTTGAGGTACAGAAAAAAATGCATGGTAAGTTTAAATAAACAAACTCTAAGTGGACAGTACTTCTCAGCCATGCCTGTAAGTAATTTTAGGTGCCTGCTGATGGCAGTTTTCTGTTCCTTGAAGTCTTCAGTCCTTCCACCAGGGTTTGGTCTGACAACAAACACCAATCTAATACTTAATCCAAGCCCAGCCAGAGGTGATTCTAACTGCAAGGTTTTGCAGATGTTCACATCCAATAATCTATCCATAATTGATGAAACAGGGAGGTCAGATGTAATGGCTGCTACTATTCAGCAACAAATAAATGGTTATTGACAAAACACGAAAGTGTTCTGCTGAATGAGGTGCAGTGACATACATGAAATGTAAGGGGGATAGAGCACTATATTTGGAGACTCTTGGATATACTTTTCTTTGGCATGGAGGGCCACATTGACATCGAGGAAATCTAGGCTCAGGGGGACATGAATGATACAAGGAATATTGCAGGTGCAGAAGAAAATGAGGGATTTGCAAAAGCAAGAGACTGGTGAGTGCAATGCAGAAAATGTTCAGAGTTGTCTTTTGAAAGTAGTACTCTGGTCTAGATGTCTGCCTTACTTTTATCTTATAACTATGTCAACAGCAATATACCTGGTTGTCAAGTTCCAGTATCTTCCCATGAATCTGAAATCATAGTATATGCATGTGCATGTTTCAGCACCATAAAGTAGCCACATCTAAGGTTCCATTGGAGAGCTCAACATTAAAAAATACCTTTATTCTCACTCATCAAAAATCTTTTATTAACGTTGATAGAATTTTGCATTAAAAATCATATTCTTTTGAGCACATCATATGCTAGATTTTACTAAGGCATCTGCTGGGAACTCAGTACGGATGAGAAGTGTTCAAACTTAAAATAATTGCCACATCACTTTAAGAATAAATTTATTAAGATGCAAACAAATTGTTACATAATAATTTATTTTGAAGTGTGTTCATTTATAATTATTACATTGAGTTTAACAATTAAAACATTTTCAGAATTGGAAAGACTTCAGTACACAGGGGGCAAAACAAATGTTATCACTAAAATACTGAAGAAAATCTCTTCAAATAACTTTTGTATTTCTGAAAATCATCAGTCAAATATAATACATGATTATATTATCTTTACAACTAGCTAAAGTATGTTTTTACTGTATTCAGCATTAAAAAGTAGCAACAATTACCTAAATACCTGCCATGGTAGGATTAAGCCTAATGGACGCATTGTTTATCTCATAAGCAGGCATTGCCTCTTACATTCTGAAGATTTTTAAGCACTTTTCCATTTTTACCCTATTTCATTTCATTGCTGTATTTGGTTCCCCTGACATAGTTGACATTGTAGGTGTTTGACTGTTTGGTTTTCTAAACTTGTTTTCAGTGAAATAAAAAGTACATAAAAAGTAATATTTACCATAAAAGGTTCATTCCTTTGGATCTATAACAAGCAACTATAGAAAGAACTATTAAATATTAGCTTATGTAATGTATCTTTGATCTACGAGAAACCAAAATTAATAATTGTTTAATCTTGCAAGTATAATTCGATATAGCTAGTGCTGTGATATATTGGAAGAACAATAAACTTTACTCAGAAATTGATATTAACTACTTCACACAGAAGTTCAGGATAGAACAAAACTAAATGTTAAAGCTTAAATGTATTTTGTAACTGTAACCGTGAGATGTTTTCTCTCATTTTTTTGCTTGTTAGCTGCAAAGCATGGGTTCATCAGGTACAATTTCTATGTCAAGTAGGTCAATCTGAATTTAGTTAAATAATCATGCGCGCATTTTGCTATATAACATACACATCGATAATACAATCATTGCAGTCATTTAAAATACACACTTAAAATTGCATGCCATAATGTTGAACAAAACATAAATGAAAAACTAAAGTATTGCAAGCATTCTGTTCACAGGTATTTCAAATAATTATTCGTTCACAGATGCCCAGTAGTAGCCATAAATTTATTTGTAGTTGAATGAGCAAATACTAATGAGGTAACAGTGGGAGGAAATGGTCGTCTTTTACAGCAGCTGTTGCTGTTAGATCCCAGTTATAGTTTTCCGTAGAAAGAGAGCCCGAGGTGGGCACTCTACAACAGGATAAAGGAGATGAAAACTCTGATGTAAAAGCTGGGGAAACAACCGCTGAGACCCCAGAGCATAGACCCCAGGAGTCTTGAGTTGTGTGGCAGGACCTCTTTAGCAAGTCTCTGAGGCTTGTCCTGGCAATGAACAGCATATTACCACAAGGCAAAGCAGAAAGCTAGCAAGCTCAGTATAATGATAAGCAGGCACCCCAAGGGACAGCAAACTATGATCTGAGGCCTGTATACATCTGAGCTCCACTCAGATGGAGAGATGATTAATATAATAAAACATAAATGTAAATTGTACACAATGGTTCTTAAAAAGTAAAGAAAACAGCTAGATTTTATCTACACTTCCATATTATAAGAATGTACATAAGCAATTATTGATAGTGCAAATATAGCAAGATTTCAGTAGAATAATACATTGTTTAGTATTAGTATTGAGAGTCTTTATCTTTCTGGGAAGAAGAGGTGATCAAAAATAATTGCAGGTTAACAGTATTTAAGGTTAAGGAAGTTCTCTTGCTCCAGAATATGTAAGTAATGCTACTGATCTTTAAACTTCCATTTTTTTCTCTATTAATATAACACATTTCCCATTATTGAATTTACTCCAAAATATTTTCAACCACTCAAATTAGAAACTAAATAAAACATAGTTTAAGAAATTTACTTGATGTTAGTCTTGACTAATGACACTTCTTCACTGAATGTAAAATAAAGTATCAAAACATATATGAATGTGGTAATTGATCCCTTACTATATCGTTGACTAAAAAAATTGTGTCTGTCTTCCTGGAAGTGTCTCTTGTTTTCTTTTTAATCTTATCTGTTTCTGCTTGTTTTTATATTTGTTTTCTATCATGTCTATCTTTCTCTCTTTGTATGGATTGGACTTTGTCTCTAATGTTTAATTTTTATGCTTTCTTCCTGTAGATTTCTCTCACAAATTCCTTTTAGTTCATGGTCCTTTAATGATTCACTAGTTTAGCATCTTTTCTAAAAAGCCAGCATTCGCAGCAAGATCATAACAATCATATATCAAATTAAAGAGGGAACACATTGGGGATTACACATTCATGTTTTCAAAGATTCAAAACAAGTTCACTACTCAAAGTGGCTATTGCATTGAATGAGATAACATAGTAAAAACAAAGGATTAAGCATGAGCATCACACTTACGCCAATAGCTGTGTCTGGCTCTCCAGCACTAAGGTACCCCAAAGCCACACGATACAGAGCTGCTAATTCCATCTTCTTATCGCCCCCTGGTGGAAATAAATATCAGTTTACATATATGGTACACACTTCAGTTCTTGTGTAATTTTAAAATTCCTAGATCCAAAATTTGGTTTAGTTTGGGTTGAAAGCAAATGCATTCAAACAATAGATTAAATGGACTAATTAATACAAATCTACTGTGAAGAATAAGTGACATTTTATTTATTTTTGTATCATTAGAAGGCCAAAAATGTATAAAACTGAAATGTCTACGTTATTCATGTAGCAAGAGAGATTGTGTTATGCAGCCAAATGTATATTAATGAAGTCAACAGGTGGCAGAGATGTATGGCAAATTGAAGCATGAACACCAGAGAATAAAGATGGCATGTCATGGTCTCAGAGCATGTTTTTACCTTGTCCTTTGTCTGCAGAGTGCAGAGGACAAAGGTTTCCAAGGAGGCGATAAGAAAATACAAGTCCTTTGTGCAATCAGAAAAGTAAATCAGAATATGCAGGTGATATGCTATGTTTCTGGTAGTAATTATACTGGAATGTCTTTGAAAAATAAATATGTAAAAGGCCTCAAGATATACTAAAATGGGAGGTGAAGGGAAGGAAACTTATAACATGGAATAAGCAATAACAAACATAACTGTGAAGAACAATGAAAACCTCATAAGGCTTGGAACATCTGAAATGCTTGTGTAATGTTCCAGGTTCCACATTAGTAAAAGCTGCACCCATCGTGCTCACTAGCAGGACATTGCAGGATGAATGAATCATGATAAATCCGTGAACAGAGGTTGAGGTAGGGGACGAAAGGGTAGTGGAGGTGAACACATCAAAGCTTAAAAACATGTTTCTTAACCAAAAAATGTTTCACTGCAAAATGTATTTCTGATACAAAGTAAAGGAATATTGTTATCAATTAAGTCAACATATTAGAATTATGTTTGTGCCAGCTGTCACGATTCCCAAGAAGAAATTAAAATAACCAAATATATTGAATGATTTCCAAATTAAGAAATTACCAACAATATTCACTTTTGAAGCTTTTACTTTAACAGGCTCACCAGATCATATGGGCCATTATTTGTTATTATCCATGAAAATTACAACTGGTCTATGACCAGTGATACGATTTCCTACAAGTCCTTTACAACCATTCCTAAAAACAATTGCATAGATTCTACAGTTGTAATCAAAACACAACAAATACATAAGTAAATCAGTTATTATATTATGGATAATTATATATATATATATAAATATATATATATGTATATAAGGGATTTTAGGTGGGAAAATATTCCAACATTAAAGACAAAATTTATTTAGAAGGTTGCAATGTAAATGGTTTTATATACATATTTATTTATTGATGATCTAACTAGATTACTTTATCTACAAATCAGAAATATTTTGTTTTTACTGTTTTTTAAATATCCTGTTCCCACATAGGATACAAAGTCTCTTTTTTTCAGGATATTCAGAATTGGTCTTAGCATTGCATCTAAACTGAGAGTTCAGGAGATCTATAGAATTCAAACTCAGAATTTCTATGAATTATTCAAATTGCTGCATGTCATATCTCAAGAAGCAGTAAAATGTGAATTTATCGGATAATACAAATGTTCAATTAGTCCAAAATTTGCAGGACCACAAATGATTGGAGGCAGTTCTTTGCAGTCTTATGATACTGGTGTCCGTGTTACCTAACACTGACAGAATTTGGAGATCACATGCATTCTTCATCTAGTCTGAATGGAAGTGAGTTATTCAAAAACATGTTCACGGTTTTTCCATTAATAGATTCCAGACCTGATGTACAACAGAAGTATTCCCAAAATTCATAACAGGGCTTTCAATCCAGTATGATGGCAGAAAAAGCCTTAGTAACCAGCAATCCAAAACTTGCGTGCTCTTGAGAAGACGTTGGTGAACTGCATGCTAGAGGTGCTGCAATCTATGGGAATTAGTTATAACTATAATGCAATTAGGGAGTTCTAAGATTTTGACCCAGTGACAGGAAAGGAAGGGCAATATATTTCCAAGTCAGGCTGAAGTGTGGTTTAATGTGGAATTTGCAAATGGTGGTGTTCTCATGTAACTTTGTTGTTCTGGATGTTAGTAGTTGAGGGTTTGGGAACTTTTTCAATTGACCATAGAGTCAGAGAGCACAGAAGCAGACCCTTCAGTCTAACCAGTCTATGCTGAACATAATCCCAAAACAAACTAGTGCCACCTGCCTGCTCCTGGCCCATATCCCTCCAAACACTTCCTATTCATATATCCATCCAAATGTCTTTTAAACATTGTAATTGCACCTGCATCCGTCACTTTCTCGGGAAGCTCATTCCACATGCCAACCGTCCTTTGTGTAAAAAAATTGCTTAAGAAACCTTGGGGAGGGTAGGGTGGGGGTTGGTGGTTGGATGTTTAGAAAAACTCTGTGTCAAAAATCATGCCCAACTGGTGTCAGTTACTTCTATGAAGCTGCTTGCAATAGTGGTGATTTGCGATAATGTAGTCCACCAGCATGTAAGCTACAGAAGTATCTGGCAACATGGAAAGGAATAGGGAAAACTGTGGAAAAAGATTCTTATCCATAAAATCTACATATATATGTGTAAAGGTACATTTTCAGCATGTAAAGCAGCAGAATACTTTTAACTCAGTAACTTGCAGATTTGATTACATCATTTAGGGTCTTACACACACCTAATTTAAATGAGAATCTACAAAGTGGTGAATCATTTGCACAATAAATCAAAATAACGAACATGTATGGCTGAAATTTCAAGAACTCATATAACTGGTGGATTGGAGAAGGCCCAAAACCAGTAATCAAGAAATATGCTGATCTCAAGATGCTGATCCTGGTGGCAGCTATGATCATCATGTTAAGGAATGGTCAGGAATCCTATTTTTATCCCATTAAAAAAAACTACCACAAATGAAAAGCTTCTTACGGGTTTCTGTATGAGCACTCTAAGGGAATATTTAAATAATGAACACAAGACAACACAAAAACAGAGTATTAGATGGCATGTGATCTAGTTGTTAGTGTTGGTCACGGTTGCCGTTATATGTACCAAGCGTAAACCTATTTGCTGTGCCTCTAACATTCACTCTAGTCTTCAAACAAATAAAATCTACTTATAGCTTGCCAATCATGTATATATTCATGTGATTGATCACGTTCTGTAAATCACAGAATCACAGAATTGATACTGTACAGGAGGAGGCCATTCGGCCTATCGCACCTGTGCATCACTCTTCAAATAAGCAGCATTACCTAGTGCCAATCTCCAGTTTTCTCCCCATATCCTTGCATATTATTTTTATCAAATAATTGTAAAATGTCCTCTTGAATGTTTTAATTGAACTTGCCTCCACCATTCTTCCAGGTAGTGCATTCAATACCCTAACTACTTGTTGAGTGAAAAAGTATTTTTCTCATATATCTCTTGGTTCTTTTGCAAATCACAATAAATATATGCTCTAAAAAGTAAAATGACGACAGTGGTGTGATTCTGAAGATCATAGGAGGAGCCACAGCCAAGATTTACAATACAAGCAGCGTATAGCAAAGGCAGGAGTTGTAGATGTATTGAAATTCTGGTGAGCAGAGACCCTCTACAGGCTACCGCAGATTAAAAACTGAATTTTCCTAGTATTTACTGGGTAGTTTGAGATTTCATCTAACAGCTATTACAAAAGTAATTAACTTTCCAAATCTAGCTTGGAAAACGAAAGGAAGCTAGCAGAAAACATAAGCACTGATATCAAAAGCTTCTATAAGTATGTACAAAGGAAGAGAATAGTGAAAGTAAATGTTGGCTGTTTAGAGGCTGAACATGGTGAGGTAATAACCGGAAATTCAGAAATGGCAGAGGCACTAAACCAATATTTTGTCTGTTTTCACAGTGGAACATCATAATTTCTTCCCAAAAACTCAGTTGCTACAGAGGAACTTGGTGAAATTGCGATAACAAAGGAGAACGTATTAAGTAAACCGATGGGTTTAAAGGCAGATAAATCCCTGGGGCCTGATGGCTTGCATCCTAGAGTATTAAAGCAGGTGGCAGCAGAGACAATGGATGCATTAGTTATGATGTTTCAAAATTCCTGGATTCTGGAAAGGTACCAGTGGATTGGAAACATGCTAATGTGACATCATTATTCAAAAAAGGGGATAAGCAAAAAGTGGGAACCAAAGAGCAGTTAATTTGACCTATGTCGTGGGGAAGTTGCGGGAGTCAATCCTAAAGGAGGGGATAACTGAACACTTGGAAAAACAAAGCTCAATTCACCAGTGTCAGCATGGTTTCATGAAGGGCAAGTCATACTTGACAAAATTGCTGGAGTTCTTTGAGGTAGCAACCAGCAAGGTGGATAATGGGGATCTGGCAGCTGTGGTGTATCTAGACTTCCAGAAGGTGCTGCATAAAAGACTGATCCAGAAGCTTAGATCCTGCGGGGTTAAGGGTAGCGGTTTGGCTGACTGGTAGAAAGCAGAGGGTTAGGATGAATGTGTCCTTCTTTGGATGAAGAACTGTAACTAGTGGGGTGCCACAGGGTTCAGTTCTCAGACCTCAACTATTTATAGTCTATATAAATGATCTGCAAACCGACTGTTAAGATAGCAAAGTTCACAAATGATACTAAAATAGGTGGGAAAGCAGGCTGTGATGAAAATATAAAGAGTTTACTGATGGATATTGATAGTCTACGAAAATGGGTCAGAATCTGGCAGATGGAGTCTAATGTGGATAAGTGCAAAGTTGTCCATTTTTGCCAGCAAAATAAAAGGTCAAATTATTATTTACATAGGAAGCAGATTCAAAGTGCATCCTGCAGAAGAATCTGGGTGTCTTTGTGCATGAATTGCAGAAGGTGAATATACAAGTTCAAAAATATAAAAAGAAAGGAAAATCCTGGCATTTATTGCAAAAGGACTGGATTATAAAAGTAGTGCTGTTCAATTTTATAAGGTATTGATGAGACCACATCTGGAATATTGTGTCCACTTGTGGTCTCC